AATTTGTAACCTTTACATATTTCCCAGAGGACTAAGAACTTCAGTCACTGCAATTTATCTCTCAAAGCGTTTTTGTTCACAATCATAAAGTAGAACTGCAGTGATCTAAGCTAAACAGTCACATAGCTGTAAATAAAAGTCCTTTTTTGGATGTGGATATCACACACATACAACCAGCCCTCTATTCTCTGCTAGTGCTCGCCTACTGTGGAAAATTCATTTCCCACTCCTGTAATTCTGTGGTATGATTTCACATAATGTCACATGTTATGTGCTTGTTACTTCATGACTATAAAAAACAACAAAGTTTTCATTTTTCATTGGGTCTTCTCCTCTACAGCCCGGTTGGAAAGCTTCCCATTTGATCTCCTCACTGCTTCGTTCTTGCCTCTGATCTCTCTCCTGTTGTCAGTGTAGAAGGTGCAAAGCTCCCTTCAGCTAGTATGTGGTGGTGGCTGCTTGGTCTACTCAGCTGCGTGCTGCTGGCGGTTATTGTCATTTTCTTTTTGATAGTGGGGCAACGCTACAAGGTATTTAGTGAGTCGTGCCTGAGACCACCCGGACCCCTTGTCGCTGACAGCAAACTGAGGGAAGCCAGGCTGAAGAGAGGTAATGTATGCATGGGAGCAGTGGTCAATTTGGTGACTACTTGATGCTTAGTTTTTACTCAGTGTTTATTTAAGGAATGAGGAATTTGTAAAACTCTGCTGATCAAGACTTCTTACTTCTGCTAGAGTCATAATAAATCCTTAAAACTGAGAAGAAGTACTAATTTTCCTATTAATGTTGATAGTCGATGGATCAGTTTGTCAGTATTTTGGTTTATGAGCAACACCTGCAAATTTAAGATAAGACTTTATTGATCCCACAACGAGGAAATTTGTGCAGCTCAAGTACAATGCCATTCCCTTTGACCTCAGCTGTAGTGTTAATTACACTAAACATTAAGCTTTTCGTTTAGTTACCACAGCTCTAATCACCAGTGTTTTCTTACATTTTCTTGTCATTTTTTAGCTTCTGAAGAAAATGTATTTTTAGAATAGAAAATAAATAATTTAATACACACAACTTCATAGCTGTTATTCATAAAGAATTTCATATTTACATGTAAATTGAAATTTTGTGTCAACCCCTATTTGTTTTTCTAGATCTAGCTATACAAACATCTGAAGTGGATCTTTCTGTGGAGGTTGCATTGCCATCAGAAACCTCTTTTTCTGTCTCGTGTGTCTAGAAACCCTCACAATCCTCCATCAGGCTGATTTGAAATGTTTCCCCCACAGGATTTCGTGTGGACCGTGTTCCTGCTGATCTGGACGCAGTGGTGATTGGCAGTGGCATAGGAGGTTTGACGGCAGCAGCACTTTTGTCCAAAGCTGGGAAGAAGGTTGCAGTTCTGGAGCAGCATGACCAAGCAGGAGGGTGCACACACACCTTCCAAAATAAAGGATTTGAGTTTGATGTGGGTAAGCTGCTGAAGGAAACACACAACAGTCCACAAAATAAAACTCACAACAATATATCTTTAAAACCAACAAGACAAACTGCTAAAATGCTCAAATTTATTGCTGGAGTTTTAAGCCTAATCTCATATGCTCTCATGTTGAGATCAACACATCTTCAAGTTAGCTATGGTCAAATTTCACATTCACTTATATTTTTTTAAATCCAAATTTAAAATGATTATAAAAATTACATTTGATTTACTATCAGAACCATGAGTATTGTTATTCAGTTAAGTACATTACCATTAATAGGATGTTTTTCAAGAACAGGGTTAATGGCATGAACTTGTCAGTGGTGAATATTTCTGTCAACATTCGGCTGTGTGCAGGCAGGAGTTAGACCCAAAATGCAATCTCGGATATGAAGGATGAACTCAAAAACCACAGCTTTATTGCAAGCAAACAAAAAGGCATACAACACAAAACTAAACTAAACTGGGAAAGAATAAACTAGACTCGCCGGGAAACACACAGATAAACACAGCCATGAGGGACAAAGCAACATTGACACAGCGAAACACAGGGCTTAAATACACTGGGGAATAACGAGGGGAATGAGACACAGGAGGAGAGCACAGCTGGGAGAAATCAGACATGACAAGAAGTGAAATTCAATACATTCATGTAGGACACAGACCTTCAAAGTAAAAGAGGAAATGTAACACTGAGA